ACAGATCTGAGACTCAACAGTCCTGCACAATTCACAGCGCTTAACAGAGCACGTACCCTCCCCAGTGTCTGCCAGAGTATTAATGCTGGTTCCCTTCTAGACTGAGCTTTTGTTTGCGAATGATCACGACCACGTGACTGAGACCAGCTTCATTCGGGAAAGGGGGTAAATGAAGTGAGAAATGCAGACTGGAAAGACCATTCGTCCATGGGGAGTCACCCTTGCAACCTGGCGTTTCGTCCAGATCCCTTCTGAAATTTCTCCGTCCCTTCTCCGTGGCCCCCAGATGAGCGCCAGGCCCTATTTTCCTAGCTCACCCTACCAGAAGGTCACCTTCTTGTTTCAAAGCCGGCCACAATATGGCTCCACCCTACTCCCTAGCCCATGGCTTCCACATTAATGCCAACTTCTTGCTCCCGTTTCCTGCAAATCTGTGACACTCTACCCCATGCTCACCTATTGAAATTCTACCCTTTAAGGCCAGTTCAAACTCCCCTCCCTGAAGCATTCTGGCTCCCCCAGAACAGAAAGCATCGGTCCCTTCTCTCTCCTACTACTTTGCCGAACATTTCTTTATGGTACTTTTTATTGGTTCTTTGTGCCCTCCCAGCTTCTACAATCCCATCCTTTCTTCCCACCGCCATGCTTGCCCACGCTCCTATCTGGCTCAGCCCCTTTACTTGTATGCTAGATTCCGTCCATGTAGCCTGTTTTCCTCCTCAGTGGGCCACTCCTATGAGTGCACCAACACGTGCTGCTGCAACCGTCTTAACAGAGGAGTCCGCACCTGACGTTTCCAATGCCCCCTACCGCCCCACTGATGGCCCATCGAGGTCACCATGACCTTCATGCTCTCCTTTGCCAATCCCTCATCTCCCAACCTCATGATGGAGTCCCTGGACTTCTCTACCTACAGTCAACACTAGCAGTCCTATTCAGCTCCACGTTCTTAAACATTCAAATGGTGTGAACCTCCTGGCCAGGTCTCTTCATCTGAATTCCAGACACCTATCCGACTGCCTACAGTGCAACTCGAGGATCTGACCCATTCCCAACACTTTGTTCCAAATGGAACTCCCAAACCTGCTTCTGCCACAATCTTCACTATCTTGATTATTGGCAAGCAATCTTGGGGGTCATCCTTGATTCCTCTTTCTCTCACACTGCACTTGAGTCAGGAGGTCCTGCCGGCTCCACTTTCTCCTAACTGGTCTCCACAAGCTATTCTCAACTCAGCAGCCAGAGTGTCCTGATGAGAGGCTGTCAGATCATGCTCTCTATACCCTTTGCTGAAGTCCCTTCTGTGGACCCCACGCAGCCAATGCTTGAACTGTACTTGAACATGTAGGCACTCGCCCATCTCATGGCATCTGCAGACCCTTCCCAATGCACCGAAGGCCCTTCTTTCCCCCATGCAGTTGGGTGGGCTGCACATTTCAAACATTTACACAAACAACAACTTCAGCAAAGATATAAACCTTCAGCCCACCACAACATTCTCTCCGCCCAGCACTCCTAGCCTTTGAACTCTTCTCCACAGCACTCCTCATTGCGTACGTACACACACACACACACGCACGCACGCACATTTTTCTGCCTCCTGCCAAAGATTCCTCGAGGGAAAAGATTTTGTTTTGTATTATTCACTGCTGTATTCCCAACATGCAGATCAGTACCTGGCATAGAGTAGAAGCAACTATTTGCTGATAGGCCCCTAAGGATCATCTGCTTTATATGCCCTACAAGAATTTGTACACGGTTAAAAGCAAGCACAAGAACTTGCACATGGTTAAACTTTACCAAAAAAATACACTGAAAACAACAGCTCAAAATAAGAGTCACATCACGGCTTAAAACGGGAAGGTTTATTAAGGTTTTTCCTCAAGAGGAACAGCCAAGCCCATGCTTCTTAAGAGAAGCAATTAGCAGGAAATGTATGTCACACCTTGAGCCCAGAATCACAGGAGGCTTCTTCTTAAAAAGCCAGAGCTATATCCCCCAATTCCCTTTTAAAGCTCTTCTTAATGTCTGCAAAACAATCGATGTCGCCTTCCCAGAAAACAGAACTAGGCATCCAGTTCAAAGTCTCCAGCTGTTCTCAACAAGCAAATTTTAGTAAGACATGACATTAAATAAATGGACCGTGCATTCAGCAAACCCAAGATGAAACTGCAGTAAAAAAAAATTTCATATTCAATGTAATGTCTGTACTACATTTTCAAGAATAACTTGCATTTTTTACATTTTTGGGGAATAGAAATACTAAAAGCTTGGTGGCTGGACTACCTCAAAGCTCACATTCATTTCCTTCCCTGCACAAGATGGGCTTCTTCCAGATCCTGGACAAGCACCCAAACCACTCTACCCTTTTAAGTTTGGAGCTGAGTCAAGAGGGGCTATTTCAATACACATTTAAGTAGCACCTTTTTAAATAAGTACAAGACCCAAATAAAACAAAAGGTTATTATTACAAGCTATTTTCTTCCTCCAAATACCAATTTCTTCACACGCTGGTTTCACCACACACATATAATTTTTAAGAGCATATTTTAGGTCTTCTAGCGTTCTACTGTGATTGCATAACAAGGAAAAAACTGAGGTAATCTTTCTTCCTGTCCCTCAGTCCTAAAAACAAAAATCAGATATATGAACTGACAAATATATGTGTACCTAATGAGGAAAATGAGGCAAAATATTTGAACTTGGGCAGGTCCAGATAACGGAGAACGTTCCTATATAGAGAAAAATAGCTCCAGACCAAGTAGCCTGTCTTAATAATGCTGGTAATTAGAGATCAGTACCTTCCCAAAGATTAATTTTTCCCAAGTACATTCTAACTTCAAAGAAACAAGCTGTTTCACTGAGGGGTAAAAAGCGGTCAGTTATGATGGCAGATCAAGATACCAAAGAGAGATTACTTCAAAGCTGTAGGGGAAAGAGAATAACATACCAACACCCATATTTCTCCAAACATTCCTGAGAGAACTCTGTGACCAGTTTAATAAATTACAGCGTTTTCATATCTTTGATGAATTTCTTACATATCTTTCCTGCCTGGTAGATTGGAAATTCTTGAGGAAAGGCCTTTATGCCTCTTCATGAAGCAAGCAGTGTTTATTTATAAGAATAGATGGATTGAATTCATACTGTTCATTCAAGGCTTGCAGAAGTATTTAACTGATACTGAAGCTCCCCCTGGTGGAGGGTAAAATGATAGATTATGTATTTACTGTTAATTTTTAAAACTAGATTGTTTGGGGGCACTAGTAAGCTATTAAAGTCATTTGTGTTTTAATGGGAAAAACATTATCAACTATGATATCAAGCCTCCTTTAAATGATATGTTACTCATCTGGCCAAAGGCGTTCTACTTTAAAGAGTCACAAATACGAACGTGGTGTCAGTTCTTGGATGTTTATCATATGAAATTCATATATATTTGAGGGCTTTTTTACTTTTCAGCTATAAAAAGTACATCAAATACATCTTATTTTGGGGCACCCTCCCCTCTGAAACCAAGACTACAGAGTCCACAGGGACAAGATGAAAGCACACCTATCTTCCTTTCTGACAGGCTACCCTTCCGCCTTACTCAGCATGGCAGATTTCCTTGTGGAGAGTAATGCATCTCCCTGACTTCAGTGGGTCCTGCTCTGCATGCTGCTGTGTGCTCCGGGGCACGTCTCTTCACAGTCCTATTGGATCCCAAGTGGACTGTGTAAGATGTGACCAAGGAATCCAGCACTGTCATCTTTCTCGCCCATGTTCTGAAACGGAGGGCAAACTGATGCTATTAGTCCAGCACAGGGGAGTTACTCTTAGGAGTTACTCTTACTTAATGATTTCTTATCTATCTGGCAAATAACCACACAACCTATGTAACAGGTAATATTTAGCAATTTTTACTTACGTGTGAGATGTTTTGTCTATAATTTTAAGTCCAAAGGCATGTCTGAGAGGTGAGTTTTCAAGCAGAATGGCTGTAGAGGACCTTAAAATATGCCACCTTGACCTGGACAGACTGGCCCTAATGCTTCACTTATTTATTTTTAATTTATTGCATTTATTAGACTTTTGGCCCCTCAATCCCAGACATCTGTGTAACTGGATCAGTAGAAGGAAAGTATTAGTTAACTAAATTTATTAGAAACTCAAAAGAATACAATTTCCATTTTTTTTTTTTACAATATTTTAACATTTTCTTAGGTTGGTCAGAGCTTACATTTGAAATCTTATTCCTAAATCTCAATTTAGTAACCGATGGCCTGACCACATTCCTGGGAAGTCTCAGCAAGGCATGAACACTACTTCATACCTAGTTGCAACGAGACAGTATCTAGATCCCTGAGCAGCTATGTAGACTTTCTAGGACTAGTCTCCTCCTCAGTATTCGGGGACAAGGCACAGGGTTTTCTCAGCTTGTTTCTTGCCTTCGCCAGCACTTAACTGGCCGACAAGCTGTTTTGCTCTACCTCTATGGAGAACACGTAAGCCGTATCGATACCCTAGATCCATGTCCTCATTAAGTGTCACCTTTGTAAAAACAGAAACAACTGGGAAGGAAAAGAAAAGCACCACTATATAGCCAGCTAAAATTTTAACTTAGCGATCTTTTCCATACTATGACTACTACACTACTTCATATACAGTCGAAGCAAAAGCAACGGACACATTCTCCGTATGCGTTTTCACTTTTCCCCACTTCTCTCAAATTCTTCAATCTATTATAAAGCAAATTTGAACATTTTTACATAACATTTCATTGGTGGGCTTATACCCAACATATTAACAATGACAAAAGGATTCCCTTGATGAAATTACAAGCTGTGGAAGATTTGAAATAGTAAAGTTAACCCCTGATACAGTATTAAACTTATTTTTACATATAAAAATAATACACAGTGGGATATTTTATTCAATAAGATACAATCTTTAAGATCAAGAGAGAATATACAAAACTAATCTATGTAGTCCGATGTAGTCTGCTGTATAGTAGGAATAAATACATCTAGAACAGAAAGTGTGAGGTCTGTTCTTAGAGAAATTACCAATGACTTAGGGGTTTAAAGCCAAGTGTTCTGTAGGTACAGGCAGAAAGGAGCTACTGTTGCATTTTAAAACAATGTGGCCATTATAAAATAAAAGTCTTAAATCTATAAACAATAACAAAAACACACAAACCAAACGAAAATGTACTAAAATTTAATCATCCAAAAAAGTTGTAATTTAATCTGACAGTAAAACACAAGAAGCAATATTAGAGTTGGTTTAGTATATTATATATTTTAGCTTTGAAAGCCATAGAAATCAGTTATCCCAGTTTTTTTCCTATAAAAGACCCATTTTTCCAAAGCATTATGCACAATTTTAATTAGAATATAATGACAGAATGATATTTCATAATTTTTAAATATAAAATGAAGTCAATGACTCAAAAAGTTATCTGCTGCAATGAGTTTGAGGGGAAATTTCATAATCTATATCATTACAGATATAAAGTATAATGGTTCAACTTTTAGTTCTTGACAGGGAGGAATCATGATAAAAAGGTCAATATGAAATCATCTGATTATAGTAGCAATATCTAACATTTGAAATGCATCCATGCTCTTTTGTATAATCATATTAGAGTCAAGTATATTTATTTTCACATCTGTTATAACTGCTATTGCAAAGGAGAAATACTATTGTCTTATTTTCCAAGAGATATACACAGAGCAATTTTTTTTTTCTCCAGGGAATCTGTGCAAACCAATATAAGATTTAAATTCTTCACATAATATATAAAACAGGAGAAGCCTCTTCAGATTTAATTTTTGAAGTCTGGAATGCTGGCACTTCCCAATTAGGCAACAGTTCTTCATTCCTGTAATCTAGAACATTGAATATATATTTATATTTATATATATATAAAATATATATACACACACACATATATGGTTAATCTCTTGATGTCAGAAGATGGTAGTGAACAAGGAGATATTCAATCATATAGAAAGAAACAGATATTGGCTGAGTGTTACTAGACAACTAAATTATACTAAACAGCTACAGTAACAGGGCTATTTTAAACTCCTTTTGAAAATGTTTAAAAAACAGTTTTATTAGTTTCACAATCTGACAGTCCTGTCTGTAAAAAGGAAAACAGTAATTATTTCTATCCCATTATCATCTTATTTTTCCAAAAAGGAAATGATACCTGTGCATAAAATTTCTTTATCCAACCATTTCAGGATTATAGGATATTAGGATTACCACTTTTTTAAAGATTTTATTTATTTATTTGAGAGAGAGGGACAGAGTGCACGAGTGGGGGGAGGGGGAGGGGAGAGAGAGAGAATCTCTTAAGCAGACTCCGAGCTGAGCACAGTGCCTGATACAGGGCTCGTCGGGGGGCTCGATCTCATGACCCTGAGATCATGACCTGAGCCGAAACCAAGTCAGACGCTTAACCAACTGAGCCATGCAGGCGCCCCTAGGATTACCACTTCTAATACAGGTTAGGACCAGAAGAGATGACACAGAAGAGCTGACCCCCATATGCAAGGGCAGAAGAATCCACGTTAGTTGTATTGCTCAGCAGAAAAGAATTAGGTTAAAGGAACAATTTCCTGAAGATGAATTTCTCTTCTAGTCTTTAGAAGTGGGACACACAAGAAAGAGATTAACATGTTTCAATACAATCTTACTTAAAGGGTAGGGTCAGATACACTGCCCTCAAGGTTCATGTACTCTTACTAAAAACATATATAGCTACTTAAATTTACCCCTTATCTCGGTACTTTTCAAGTGAGATCAACATGGCACTTCCAGTCTATAATCACTCTGTGATTTCTTTGCTTTGCCAAGTATTCTGACTGCTAATTGACCCGTTATTTGGTATTTCCAAACATCCACAGAGATCTCAGGTGACTTATTAAACATATTGTTAGGCTGACTTACATATCAGAGCTAAGAATTTATACAACCAGGATGAAAGTCTTATTCTAGATGTAGGCCAAGATTTCTCTCCTCTCAGGTAAAACACAATACACTGCAGGGTGTATATGAATGGATGCTCATAACAGGCCAGAAGATGGCACTTCTTCCTTTAAACATAAGCTAAACATTTTCTAGAGAATTGGAAATTAAACTAGGTTCAGCTAAGGTAATGGCATCAACGAAACAGTCAACTACAGCTGACTTAACTAGGAGAGTTAAATGATATAGTTCAGAACAGGAACTGAAGTCCTATTTTCCTTACCTTTGCACCCTTACCTAAACAAACACACCAGCAAATTTTAAAATAATCACCTTCACGGAGCTAATGATTTATAGTTACTGAATCAAGATTTCACTTAAAGCCTAAAGCACACATCTGACCAGAAGCTGTCTTTCTTAAATCCAACCAGAGGCAACCCCATGCTGTTTCCTCCTTTCTACCCATTTTCCTTGACCTTCATTTAAAAGGGGGGTACCAAGAAAATTAAATTAAAGGGAGTACAATTATTGAGTTGTTTCCCTGAAGAGAGAGATTCATCCAAGTCTCTCAGGAAGCACATATTAGTTAATTTGGTGCTCTGGAAGAGGTAATCTGCTCGATGGACCCAAGAGACTTAAAAGACTTAGTGTAAGCAACTCTCAATTGGGAACAGTAGCCTTTCCTCTGACCGAACCAAGATTAGTAATATGCACATAACTAGCACCAAATTACCTCATAAAATAACTTCATGAAAATATTCTTTTATGGCATAGTTTATAGCGTTTGTGAAGATAAGGAGAAATTGTTCAAGGGATTTCATATACACAATTAGATAAAAAGAAACAAATGGTCCCACAGGGCCTGGTTTCTCACTTGATAGGCAGCTTCAATGCTGCCACTAATTTCTCTCCAATAGGTTCACTTTAACGAAAACTTAAGCGGTACTTAACGTCAACTACTACTTAGAAGCCTATAGACAAAACATTTCAAAGAAGTCAACCTAGAACCAAGAGGAAATGACTACCAAAACATGCACCAGATACCCAGCAGAATGGCTTGAGTTAAAAAGACTGACGGTACCATCTTTGGCGAGGACATGGAACTCATCAACTGCTAGCAGGTGTGTAAACTGGTACAATTACCTTGAAAAACTTTTTAGCAGTATCTACTAATGCTATCCATATATATAGTGTATAGTCTGGCCATCTCGTTCCTAGGTACATACCAAGTAGAAATGATGCACATGTGCATAAAGACTCATGCAAGAATGCAGAGAATTATCCACCTTAGTTCTTGAGAAGACCCCAAATGTCCATCAGCAGCAAAATATGTAAGTCCACTGCTAGTACAGTCAGGCAATGCAAATGAACTACTGCAGCCCATATGCTACTGCAGTAGTACCCTTCTAGGGCAATTCTCGAAAACATATTTTTGAGTAAAAGTCACCAGACAGAATACCTGTTTTTGTTAATGTTAAGTTCGAAGAGAGGCAAAACCAATTACGGTGTTAGGAATCAGGGCAGGGATTACCCTGAGGGAGGAATGACTATTATTGATACACAGAGGTGTGTTCACTTTGAAATAACACATCAAATGTTCACTTAAGCATTTTGTTTCAGATGACCCATGTTCGGCTTTAATTTGGCAGGAACTCAGGAGTGACCCTGGAAGGAATTCTACCTATTCAACCACTATTTCTAGAATACCTGTTCTGTAGCTGGCATCGGGGACACGGTGGTGAACAAAACATCTATGGTCCTTGCCCTCGGACAGCTTAGAATCTCATCTCATGGGGAGAGAGACAAATTATCAACAGATGAGCACATCTACAAGCCATGTATCACATTTACAAGACACAGAAACCTGGAAATAACCCTAACAGGTGGAATGGGAAGTGGCTAGGGGTGGGGAAAGCCCAAAATAAGAGCGTGAGCAAGGCGTTTGTTCTGCTTTCCGGACCTTACCTGGCTCAGAGCTGCTGCTCACTGTGGGTCTAAAGCAGAAGGCATGATTTCTTTTTAGGCTTCTTCTTTTCCACTGGTGTTTTTCTATTTATCTGTCTGACCAGGTCATAAAATATCTAAATAAAAACAAGAAAAAAAGTCTTATTCAACAAACACTTGAGATCTTGCTCCACAAAACCATCTTGGTTCTGTTAAATGTTATTCTGCTCTTGGATCTATATTTTGCTGCTTTATTCTAACAGCAGGTTTCTCAGAAGCCCCAGGTGGCTTTCAGTCCAGGTAAAGCAGGACTTACCAATTTACTGTGAGGGAAATAACCTGCTCTTAGATATTCAATATAAACTTAAGAAAAAAGGTTCATAGTGAAAAACAAGATAGTGAAGTTATATTCGTCATGGACTCGTCTATGCTTCAAAACATAATTATTAAGGGAATAGTTAATGCTCAACTTGAATCTTCACATTTATTTTATTTTTAAAAACTTCAAACCTGGGTGCCTGGGTGGCTCAGTTGGTTAAGTGTCCAACTCTTGATTTCGGCTCAGGTCATGATCTCAGGGTCCTGGGATCAAGCCCCGTGACTGGCTCCCCGCTCAATGGGGAGTCTGCCTGTCTCCCTCTCCTTCCGCCCCTCCCCTGCTCTCGTGCGAACTTGCTTTCTCCCCCTTAAATAAATCTTTAAATGAAAATAAAAATAAAAACTTCAAACTTACAGAAAAGTTACAAGAATACCAAGGACTTGTTTGTGTACATTCTTTACCCAGACTCACCAATTAGTAACATTTTGCCACGTGTACTTTATCATTTCTCCCTAAATACACTCTTATTTTCTAAACCATCTGAGAGTAGTCTGCATACAACAGGTCCCTTAATGGTTGAGTGTGTATCTCCTAAGAACAAGGATATTCTTCCATACCCATGTTACAGTTACACATTGAGTACATTTAAGCACCAATATGTTACTTTGTATCATCTACAGCGCAGATCCCAATTTTATCAGTTATCCCAATAATGTCCTATATAGAATTCCTGCTCCCCCCCACCAAAGGATCCATCTAGGATCACATACTGCATTTAATTTTCTGTCACTTTAATCTTTTAAAATCTGGAACAGTTCTTCAGTCTTTGTCTTTCATGACATTGTCATTTCTGAAAATGGATGGCTAGTAACTTTATAGAATTTCCCTCAGTTTGGGTTTGTCTGATGTTTCTTCATGAGTAGATTCATGTTATATATTTTTGGCTGGAATAGGACAACCGTGTTCCCCTCAAGATACCACATGTAAAAGCAAATGATTTTTGTTTGCTGCTTTTGGTGATACTAATTTTGGCTAAACTGAAAAAGAGAAAAAGTGTGTGACCCCAATTTTAAGTAATAATCTCTGTTACTACATCTTCTGGATTTGTTTTGGATGAAAAATGCAAGGCATCAGAGACAAAAATACAATAGTACTTATTTCACAGAAGAAGATTATTTTAATACTGATATGTTTATATGTTTCATAGTGCTAAGTATGTCCAAGTATTAGAACAATTAAACAACAGATCAGCTGAATTTGGTTCTTTGCTATGAAATGCAAATACTTACTTACTAATGACCTGAGAAGCAAATATCGCAGAATCTCTTTACTATTACTCATCTGTAATAAATAGTGCTTTGTAGAAGTGTATCAAAAGGCCCTAGCTTTTAGGGGCATTATAGGGACAAACAACAAAATTTGAATATGTACTAAACAGGGACTGTGTAAATAACAATTTTCTTGATTTTAATAATTGTGGTTGTGTAAGAAAATGTCTTTGATCTAAGGGTACATACACTAACATATTTAGGAGTAAAGGAGTGTGATACTTAAACACTGACAAAATATTAACTAGTGAATCTGGATGAAGAGTGAAAAAATTCTTACTGTTCTTACATATTTTCAGTAAGTGTTAAAAAGTAAAATATTTAAAAAATCATTTCTTTAAGATGGTGCCCAGATAAAACAACTTCTATTTATTTTTTAAAATGGTCCTAAGATTACAAGGCTAAATTATTAAAAAGAAAAGCTTTATCCCAAAGCTTTAAGTGATTCATTTATATTCTTTTCTTTCTGCTCCATCCTCCCCACTGCCGTCTTCGTCCATTTAACTTCTCTATTATCTTATTTCTAAGAAAGTTGAAAACACTGGATTTATGAACAAAACAGCAGTTTCACAGCTCTGAAACTCTCTCAAGAACTTAATATGCATAAGCCACGAACAAGTTCTCTTTTGTTCCCTAGCCTTAATGCGTAAGCTAGAAGATGAAAAATTAAAAGGATAAACTAAAATAGTCTAAGAATCAAAACCACATATTTCTTCACGCCAGCCAGTTTTGGGTTTCTGGTACTCCACTAACTGGTTTTGTAGTGATATCCTCAATGACTTCTTTGGCAAATGCTGCCCACCTCACCGCAGCAGCTGGTTCAGTGATAGAGGCAAGTTCAAACTATAGTATTTGGTTAGATACGCTTAGAGGCCTCAGCCTAGGTTCTTCCTCATCTCTCTGAACTATAGAAAAATCTAAAGGGAAGACAGAATAGTTTCTCAATCCCTCTGCCATTACTCAACTGGGATGTCTTGATTCCAATTATTATTCCAGCCTCAGCAAAGAACAATTAATTCTTGATTAAGACTGATGTGATTCTGGTACTGTCAGTCCTACTTTCAGAACAGAGCAAAAATGGTGTGGGTAAGAGTTTAATATATATATTCTGCTACAGGTATCAGGGAATTAGAGGGCTATTTAGCCAAGCAGTACGTCCCTGTGTGATCTGAAATTTGAGTCCAACAAAAATCACATGTATATTTACAAAGCATTAGCTGTCTGAGGAACTATGAACTATCCAAGGAACTCTGTAGCTGGATTATCAAGCTATAAATAGAGAAACATTAAAAGAAACTCAAATATTATACTCTAGCATAAAGTTTGTATGTCCCTCAAAAGAGTAAAGATCCTTAAATAGCTAACGTATTCCATTTTGTTTTACTGTTCTCTGTTTTTAATAAACCCTCACATCAAGGTTTAACAAGACTGCTGTGAAAATGGAGCTCTGGGGCACTGGAAACTATAACCCAGGAGGCTTAGCAAGTAGCAGGTGAGTTGTCACAAACATGTAATGCTTTTTAAAAGTAAGGAACACCTCCAGTCCATGGTGCTCACTGGACCCTGGCCCAACCCAGCCCCAGCAGAGCCAAGTCCTATGAACCTGGCAGGCGGGTACCAGTGAGGGTGAGAACAGGAACAGCAAGGAACCAGATCCCTAAGGCCAATCATCCTGCAGATGGTGACCCTGTACTACTGTTTCCCTAACCAAGCTCATGCATCAATCCTAATGCTTTTTCCCCCCAAGATTTATTTATTTACGAGACAGCGAGAGTGCGAGGATGCACAAGCACCAGCCCCCACCATGCTTTTTAGCTCTGGTTTTTTTTTTTGAGAAAAGACTGTACTAAAACTTAAAATTTTAGGGGTGCCTGGGTGGCTCAGTTGGTTGAGCGTCTGCCTTCAGCTCAGGTCATGATCCTGGGGTCCTGGGATGGAGCCCCATATCAGGCTCCCTGCTCAGAGGGAAGTCTGCTTCTCCTTCTCCCGCTGACCCCCCACCTTGTACACACTCTCTTTCTCAAATAAATAAAATCTTTTTTTTTTTTTAAAGATTTTATTTATTTATTTGACAGAGAGAGAGACAGCGAGAGAGGGAACACAAGCGGGGGTGGTGGGA